TAGTCAGAAATGTGTGCAGCTGCCCCGGGCCTCCGCCTACTTGGCCATGTTGATCAGGCTCTGCAGGGAGGTGGGCACCCAGGTCTTCTCACCCTGGACAAATACCACTCCCTGGTCAATATAGATGACGATGCGGCCAAAGGTATAGAGCTGCTTCCCTTCATGTCGCTTCCTGATGACAGGCATGAAGAGGATATTGTGCTCCTTGGCCTTGGTCTCAATGAGGTCCTTAAAGTTCATGGGCACGGATCTGGTGGCCACGCCAATGCCCCTCTGGGCCATGTTCTCGGCCTCCCGTTGCTCCTGCATGGCCTCGTACTGGAAGTCCTTCCTCCGCTCCATGTGGGTGAGGTAGGCGATGTTTTCTCGTGCTCCGGGCTGCATGTAGGCACCTGGGAGACAGGGCAGGGGGTGAGGAGAGGTGTCCGATACACACAGAATCTAGGCTGTGATGGGGCTGAAGTCTGGATATACCCCAGGCGCCATCTCCTAAACCTACTGTTACTCACTGAGCAGCAGCTGTGCCGCAGACACAAAACACTAAGAGATGGCCCAGCACCTGCACACCTGGCTGTGCTCACGTAAGAATTGGGCTGGAGATTTCTGGCGAATTCCTAGTGGCCAGATTCTGTTCCCATCTTGCCTGGGAGTTTTCACTCCACACTGCCAAAGAGGCAGCCGGCAGAACCCTGAAAACATAGGCCTGAGCAATAGGGGAATAGATATTAAATGAACAGTCAACTGCCCACTTTTGGCACAGCAGACACCTACCGAGTGCTAGACACACCACTCCCAGTAACTCAACCCCTCCAGGTTTTTAGTAAAACCTACAAGGTAGCTGTTACACGTTACTGTTTTACAGGTAAAGAATATGGTCTTAGCGGTTGCCACCAGCGGTCCACGATCCGAAAGGTTGGTGACCGCTGGTCTAAGAGGTTAAGCAGCTAAGAGTCAGACTGTGCCCTGACTCTACGCTGTGAGCTTACACTTAAGTAGCACACCCAACGCTGGCTGCTTGGGGAAGATGAGCTGGTCCAGGATGTTGTCCAGCACCCACACGGGGATCATGTGCACCCAGCTATCCAGGAAGTCCACCATGGGCTCACAGTTCCGGGGTTGCCACTGGGTGACGCTATTTCGAACCAAAGGCATCCAGTCTTCCCATATCAGCCTGTGAAAGGCGTCTGCCGAGAGGTCCTGGCCGCCGTGCGACAGGGGCTGGTCGTTCTCCAGGAGTCTCTTCCATTTGGAGATGATCTCGGTGCCGTAGGTGCAGTCTTTGAGGGGGTCCCACTCCTTGAAGTACTCCTTCATGAGCGGGTAGACGATGGCCACAGGCAGGTCCACGCGGTCGGACATGCCGTACTCCTCGTAGTACTTGTCCTGCAGGGTTTCAAAGATGCGGGCGCACTCATCCAGGATGAGCGGGTGGCTGCAGCCGGGCTGCATGCGCCGCTCGCACTCCTCCACCAGCTCCAGGACTTTGCTGAGGTTGGAGGTGGCCCGCTCCTCGTGGTCCAGCACCTCCGACATCTTCTCCAGCTCGTGCGAGAGGTTCACCACCATGTCCCGCTCGTACTGCAGCTGCCGGTGGTCGTTCTGGATCTCCTGCTCCGTGAGGTCGATGAGCAGCTGCAGCTTGTGCTCCAGCTCCGGCAGCGCAAAGCCCGGGGCCTTGGCCTCCTTGCGGGATAGTGGCAGCTGCTGGGACTGCGGCGGCAGCCCATCGTCGGGGATGTTGTGCTTGTGGCTGATGTGGCTGTAGCTGTAGTAGACCTTCTGCTCCCGGCCCATCATGTCTATGACCTTGACCTGCGAAAGCTCCTTCTGGGGAGCCGTGAGCTTCTTGCTGGTCCTGCCCTTGGCCTTCAGCTCCTCCACCGTCTTGTAGGAGTACTTGGGCTTCTTCTTGCTCCCGCTGGGGTCCTTCCTCCACTGGCTCAGCTCCTTCTGAAACTCCTCTTCCACTTCCTCTTCCGAGTCCACCACAGGGAAGTCTTGCAGGGACTGAGTGGTCCGCTCAGAGCCATACGCTCCCACGGCACCTCTTCCCTTTCTCTGTTTGCCTTCGATTGGCGTAATGATACCTTGCGCGTTCTTGCCGAGGCCCCTCCCAGGGACGTAGCCCATCTTCTGCAGGAGCTTCTGCCCTATCCCTTTCGTGTGTCTCTCCCAGCTGCCAAAATCCATGAACGACTTGGTTCCTCCTGCAAAGCCTTTCTGGCTGGGTTTTAAATTGCCACCCGTTTTTAACTTCTTCGGCCCGAAATCCTTAGGAAATTCTTCCTGCTTAACAGGTTTCTCTCCATCGTCAGAATCTTCCAGCTCCACCTCCTCTGCCACCCCTTTCTTGAGGCCCGCACTGATGAAGTTGACTGGCGCAGAGTAGTCTCGGGCCCGTTTGCCTCTGAAGCTGGGCCTCTCTTTATCCGAGTCTCGCTCTGCCCACACTCCGTAGGTGGCCTCTTCCTTGGTCTGCCAATGCCGCTGCCGGTTGGGGTTGAACTCATTCTGCAGATCCCAGTCAGTGATCTCAAAGTTCTCCCTCTCGTCGTCGTCGTCGTCCATGTGGCCTTCCCCGTCCCGGTACAAGTGGGACAGCGGCATGGCCAGTCACTAAGGAACCGGAAGTGCAGGGACCTGCTCGCAGACAATGGCGTCAGAGAGCCCCTTTCAGTTTCTTAATCCTGAGCCTCATCTCCAACACTTTTGTAGATAATGGGTTCATTCTGAGTTGAACCTTACTTTAGCTTCTAAATGTATTAAAATACCTAAACTCTCATGAAGACTACTGATAATTCATAAAATTCCAGTGAGATTTTTATAATCAACTAATTTAAAAATAAAGGTAATCAACTATGTTGAAAAGGAATTGAAGGAACAAACCCTATCCTGGTAACCAGTAGTATAGGGGTTTTAGCCACACAATTAAAAAAAAAAAATAGAACAGAAAAGGCCAAAATCACACTTGTGATTTAAATTAATTCTTGATGTCAGAGACACCACAAATCAATGGACAATGCAAGGATTATTCAATTAGTGACATGGTTACAATGAATAATTTGAAAATGCATTACAGATGGGCTTCCAAAGTGAGACCTATTGCGTAGACAAGCAATACAGTAATATTGTTCCATATTATAAAACTATTGAGTAGAATGAAAAAACAGACTAGAGAATCTAAAATTAACAGGAATTCTTTATATCCCTGAACCTTAAGAAAGACAAGTTAAGGTAATAGAGTACTGACCTTATGTTGGGGTCCAGCCCCAGCAGTCCAGGGGTTCCCAAAGGTGAGGATGGAGTTGGCGAAGAAGGAATGACATGGAGACAGCAGCGTTCAGATCATCAGCATAGCCGGGTTCTGTCTAGCCAGGTTCTCCTGCCAGGTTCTCCCTCCAGGTTCTCTAGCCAGGTTCTGTGTTTATTCTCCTGTTACATCTGAATTTATACCAGTTGATTTTAATCCTATCCATTCTATTCCAAAGGTTAGGGCGTTTGTTATCTCCATTAAAAGGTCACTACTCTATTGTTCTGTTAAGCTACAAGGAAGTAACTGAAGGAGATTATCCTAAGTAAAGATTATGTAGCTTAAGCGTGATTGTTCGTAGTTAAGGTGATTAACTACCTGCCTGGCATTTAGTTAAGGTGTTTTACTGATTTATTCCCTTCCTTAGTCCTGTTAATCCCTAACTCCAGGGAAAAATCCCTACCTGGGGAAACAACCTTTCTCGGGGAGGTGGCCTTGGTTAAAACACATAGCGCTAAGAGGGGGAGCAAACATATTCAGAACCAGTATGCCATATATGCCAGGTCCCTTGAAACATATGCTGTGCAGATGTTTCTTCCCTGCAGCGACTGTGTCAAGCAGCAAGGATGGACCGGCTTCTGGCAATCTTAATGTATATATATTGAAATCAGCAGGAAATTTGTAACACAAATACACTGTGGTGTGGTAGACCAGAACATGATTTTGTTGCAAATATTCCCCAAATATCAGTAGCTTAACACAAAAGTTTTGCTTGCTCAGCTTGGAGTACTAGGGTTGAGTGACTCATCCTGAAGCAATGACTTAGGAATTTAAATCCTTACATCTCAGATACTCCATTTGGAATAGGTCTCCAAGGTCTCCATGGATGTGGAGGAATTATCTCTAGAGCAGGGGTCCTCAAACTTTTTAAACAGGGGGCCAGTTCACTGTCCCTCAGACCGTTGGAGGGCCGGACTATAGTTTAAAAAAAAACTATGAACAAATTCCTATGCACACAGCGGCGATCTTATTTTGAAGTAAAAAAACAAAACGGCGGGCCGCATGCCCTCGGGCCGTAGTTTGAGGACCCCTGCTCTAGAGGGTTTAAGTGTATGTAACCAAAATGCAGGCTAGACTGCCTGCTGCAATGAAAGCCAAACTTGTGAGACATGTGCTAGTGCAAAAGGAAAGAGATTTACAGGTCATGACCTGGGAGAATGGTAGACTCCTGTCTCAAAGACTGTTCCCCCTTCCTGCTCAAGACCATGGTTCTTATTGGGATAGGGAGGGGAGGAGATTATTTTTCTATCCAATTATCTTTCTAGCTATGGGAGTGCTTGGGCCCTATCCGTTCATCTTTCTAGCTTTTGGCCCACTCAGTGTAAGAATCTCCCCCTGCACCATCTTGGCCAATAAGGAGACTCCCTGAATGTCTACAGTATTGGGGTCAATAGGGAGTGGTGCTGTAGGACCTGCTGCCAGGAAACCTGGAAATTCACAGCCCTCAGCCCACCCCCTCATGCTGGACATGATGCCTTCACATGCAGGGGAGCCAGCTGCTGCCGAGGTCCAGGGGTTCCCAAAGGTGTGGACGGCGTCAGTGAAGAATGAAGGACATGGAGACAGCGTTCAGATGATCAGCATAGCCATATTGTCCTGTTACAACTGTATTTATACCATTTGATCCTATAAGCATGCCTCTATAGTTACATCATGGTATGTTTTGGGTCCTCCTTTGCTCCTTTGACCTTCTACAGTTCCTTGTTTTTCTTTTTCTTTTTTAAATTTTTTTTTAGACTTAAAGTTTATTAGTGAAAGGGGCTGTGGGGTGGTGGGCTGGATGCTATGTCAGCTGCCCCACCTTGTCCTCCTGCTGCATCTGGGCGATCAGCTGCTGCCGCTCAGCTGCTTGGCGCATGTGCATTATGACGAGGCTTTCGTAGTCCCTCTCGGACACCACCGAGCCCTGTGACCGCCCTGGGTGGCTGGGGCCATCCCTCCAACCAGGAAATCTTCAGAGGATTATCAACCAGGCCCACTTCATTCTGGACAGCCAGCTCCGCAGCCTTGATGGTCGCAAACTCCACCACGGCGATGCCTGCCTTCTTGCTGGAAAGTACCAGGTTGAGCACTTCTCCGTACTTTTGAAGAAGCTGCAGGAGGATATCTCTGGAGTAGCCGCCTTTTGACCAATCCTTTCTGCGCTTCCATTTGAGCTTTAGCTTAGGAGTTCCTTTGCCTTCAGGATTTTCTGCCTTTCCTCTCAACCTCTGCTCCCGTTCCTGACGTATCTGCTCCTGCATCAGCCTCTGCTGTTTTTCCAGCTGCCGGGAACCCTCTTCTCATAGGCGCTGAATCTCCTGCTCTAGTGTCCTGGTGCTCCGGCTCTCGTCCTGGGCCTGGGCCTGAGCCTGAGCCTGCCGCTCCCGGGCCTCCAGGTCAAGCTTCACTTTCTTCCTTCTCTCATCTAGTTTCTGGGTCCTCTCTGCTGCCTGCTTCTTGGCTTTCCTGACCTTGTCATACGTGGCCCTGGCTGCAGCGTCAGTCAGTACCTCCAAGGCCTGAGAAAGCTGGAGGAAGAGCTCAGCTGCTCTGGGATTATCCGGGTTTTTGTCTGGATGGCAGGAGAGGGCCTTCTGCCTATATGCCTTCTTCACCTCTTTGTCCGCCGCCTTCTCAATGCCTAGCAGCGCGTACAGGCCCATCTGTAAGAGCTCCTTGGCCACTGACATGGTTCCAACCCTGACTGGATTCGTACTACAACTCCCTGTTCCTTGTTTTTTGTTTATAGTTTCTTATCTGACCTTTGATAAAAGTCTTATCTCTATCTAGCTCTGTTGATTTTTATCTTGTCTAGGTTAGTCTCTGTGTTCCATAATAAGGACTAGTTTGCTATCTCTATTCCCAGGTCATTATCCTATTGCTCTACTGTTAAGCTATCAGTTATTCTGAAATCACTCTGTTTTTCTGAGGAAGAATTGGGGAAATACTACTTTAGGTGATATTGTAGGCCTTTCCTCAGGGAGACCCATTCTCCTTCGATAAGGAGACTTCATAGAGATTGATTTTTTTTTTTCTATTGCAATAGCTTGACATCAGACTTCTGTGTACTGGCTCTTGGGTTTCTCTCTAGTTGTACAAGTGAAGACATCCTTATTAGTTGCCCATCTATCTCACCAGTGGAACACTGTGGTGAAGGATTAGCTAATGGCACAGATCTCTGCAGGCCAAGATGCCGATGACCTCTCAGATCTTGCCTGTTAGTTACTACCAAAAACCATAAGGTAAAATGCTACTCGCCTGGCCTCTATGTAGAATCCTACCATCCCCACTAATGCCGGAGCCTAATTCCGTGGCAGCATCTCCTGTCAAACCTTAACTATGAAGGGTAGTTTATCAATGATGTTGCCACCCTAATGCATTCTTTGCTGTCTTTGTCTTTTAGAAGGATCCAGAAGACACCACCTTCTTAGTTAGGTGGTGGGTTTTCTGATCTTAAAAAAAATCCATTATATCAACCTGTCTGCATCTTATGATCCCTTTCTCAATACTCTGCTGAACATCTCCATCTCAATTATTATAGGTCATCATCTCCAAGCTTCCAAAGGGCCATCTCAGCAGCATCTGAACAGGACAGCTCCAGGTATTCCAGCCAGGACATTAGGTTCTGAGTCCTGGGGAAATTCTCTCACAGCACACGCTCCCTTATACAGCTAGATTCTTCAGTCCCGCCATCCACACCCTCCAGTCAGAACCCCATGTATGTTCTCACGGGAGTCGCAGCACGTGCTGATCGGGCCCTGGAGCTCTTTCGGTGAAGAAGCTTCTCCCTGGGACAGAGAGCGGATTCCTGGCTTGGGGGACTCGACCCAACTTACTTCCCATGAGATGAGAAGAAGAAGGGAGGAGTGGATTAGTAGGAGGGTATGTAAGAACTTTCAAAGTATGTACCTCAGATGTGATCTTCTCATGACCTCCAGGCAAAACGGAGCTGTTTCTCTCTAGCCTAGTGGAGCCTGGAGGGTTAGCAAATACCTGAGAGTTCTAGAGTCTCAGGGGTGTCCACCTAAATGAACCCATCCTAAGTCTCAGGGCCCTGTTCTTTCCCAGCAAGGCCACGAATCTAGCAAAGGAGACCTGTCAGGTTATCACATTCAACATCCCTTGTATCTATCTCTGGCATCTTCACGGTCAAACCCTTAGTGTGGCTTTTCAGTAAGGCCTGTGATACGGCTGGAGGAGATAAGGTCTCTTTAAATCAACTCACTGAAATGTTCTGGTCTTTATGGCATGTCCTGAATTAGTAGCAGGCTGATCTGAGCCTATCATTCTTTCTTCGAGGTTTCTAAATCAGTTT